CCGCCCCCCCCCCCCAATGTTTTCTGTCTGGCAAGGCTCTGGCAACAAACCTGGCAAATGCCCCTGAGTTTCTGGCAATGAAAAATTATTTCTTCACAAATATTCTTGAAAGAAAATTCAGAGGCTGGAAGCCTTTGCAGGAACAGAGCAGCGATCACATGTGGCTCCAAAACATGACCAGTGCCTATCTGACCTAACGGGCCAGTTTCCACTGGTCATGCTTAGTATGCCAAAATTTCAAGCTCTTTGCTTCATAGGGCTCCTTTATACTCACATAAACAAATGGACACACACACACACACACACACACACACACACACACACACACACACACACACACACACACACCCTCTCTCTCTCTAAGCAAGCTTAAACAGAGCATGAAAAAAATTAACTTTTTTTAATGTTGTCTCCCAGAATTTTCCAACAGCTTGGTTTCTGACAGCCTGAGATATTTTGATAGATGTAGAGCTCTTAAAGAGTAGTTGTCCATGATCACAATAAGATGCTTTCCAGTTCTCCACCTTTGATTTCACGATTTAAATTTGCAGCCACATGACAGATAGTCATTAGTGAACAATTTACCCAACAAGTGTGCTAACTGCAGATCATTTCTTGTTCAACCAGAGCCTTCTACTTTTTTGTTGCAGATTTTTTTTTAAAAAAAAGTTGTGTTGCTGCATGTGTGGATGATCTTATCACAACTTTTTAAAATTACTGTCACTGCATGTTCTTTTAAAATGTTTTTAATTTTTAAACATTTTTCTGCAGCATTTGTGCTGATGAGTTAGTTAACTTCTGTCAAACAGTCTCAACAAGAAGCTCTAGGCACTTGTTGAATTGAAGTAAATGACGTGGTTAACCCAAAAACACATTGGGATGCACATCCTGGAATAAATACCACATGAACTCAAAACATGACAGGAACGTGATTAAAATTCATATAACCACAGGGGACCATTTTGCTGGTGTGCCCATGGCCTTAGTCATTTATTCATTCACAGTTCATATTACAGTTTGGAATCATTATCTGTCTGATTACAGCTCCCAAATCTCCTATCCAGCAAGGCCACTTTAAAAAAGCTAGTTCTTTCGCTTTGGTGGATGCACTGACTAGGAGATTCTGAGAGTCATAGTCTAGAAAAGTAATTTCTTTCAAACTCTGGTTCTTGTACCCCACAACTGTGTCATAACAGGGACACAGAACAGCTGGCAAGTATTAGTACTGTAATTTGTTGCCAACAGAATCAATAAAATGCTATTTTAAAGAAAAATATTATAGTAATAAGACATATTTTGGGTCATCCTGACGACCAAATGTGGGTGCAGCACTAATCCTTAAAAGCCGGCTTTCTCGAACCTGATGTGCTCCTGATATTTAGGATTACAACTTCCATCATCCCTAACTGTTCACCAACTCTGATGGGAGATGATGGGGAGTTGGGAATCCAAAACTGGTATACTGTACTTTTAAAGTGTATTTGTCCAC